ATAGATAGATAGATAGATAGATAGATAGATAGATAGATAGATAGATAGATAGATAGATAGATAGATAGAATAAAATAAAATACAATAAAATAAAATAAGGATGAATTAATCTATCTTCACATTAAATCACAACCGGAACTGTTTCGACTTGAAGCTAACCTGTTAGCCTCCGTTAGCTCTGGCTCCGTTTTCTTCTCACAGCGCGTTTCCGGTTCCGGTCATGTAGAAAACACCAAAACACCGAACCTTCTTGTTTACAGTTGAGCCTGTAAACACACAGGGCTCTGGTTTGTGCTTATTTGTTTACCTGTTTGGTCCTTTTGACGCACAGCGGTTGTCGCGCACAAATGACGTCACTTTCACGGCGCGACCTAAAAACGCAACAACACAGTTTCGAACCGATCTTCTTTTTTCTTCACAAATATATTGAAGATAAGTTGGGTCAAAGTTGTTTTTATCCGTTAAAACAATATTTTAATGATTTAAGCTCGGTTAGTAACCATGGCAACAGGACAGTTGTTTACATCCCTGTCAGCTGATCGGACCGGACTTCCGCCTCGACCAGCTGCACTCACCTGTTCAGAGGCCACGCCCATCAAAAACCAGATGTTTCTCACAGGTTCTGTCTGTTATAGAGCTTTAATCAGCCTTTAATAAAATAAACTGATTCATGGTGACATTCNGCAGTAACGCTGTGATGAGTCAGCAGTAACGCTGTGATGAGTCAGCAGTAACGCTGTGATGAGTCAGCAGTAACGCTGTGATGAGTCAGCAGTAATGCTGTGATGAGTCACCAGTAATGCTGTGATGAGTCACCAGTAATGCTGTGATGAGTCACCAGTAATGCTGTGATGAGTCAGCAGTAACACTGTGATGAGTCAGCAGTAACACTGTGATGAGTCACCAGTAACGCTGTGATGAGTCACCAGTAACCTGTGATGAGTCAGCAGTAACCTGTGATGAGTCAGCAGTAACCTGTGATGAGTCAGCAGTAACGCTGTGATGAGTCAGCAGTAACACTGTGATGAGTCAGCAGTAACACTGTGATGAGTCAGCAGTAACGCTGTGATGAGTCAGCAGTAACGCTGCACAGCACAGAGACTAACCAGAATCTTCAGTCTGCTACTCAGATCCTCCTGCTGCTCCTCTCTGCTCCTCTCCATCCTTCCTCTCCTCTTCACCTCCTGCAGCCTGCCTTCTTTCTTCTTCTTCTCCTCCTCGTTACCTTCACTGCTGCTGCCGGCCTGAAACACAGAACAGGTGACACACCTGAGCAGGTAAATCACAGGAACAGCTACAAACACATTAGCAGATTCAGCTTTATAAAGCTGAGAGGAGGAGGAGGAGCAGATAAAGATGAAGGTGAGCTCAGGTGGATGATTCACTCTGACCTCCGTCACTTTTTACCTGCTGTTAAACATTCAGAGCTGCAGCTTCCTGTTAAACCGACCTTTGACCTCAAAAGCCCAACTACTGATGAAGAGGAGGAGGAGGAGAAGTGTGTAGTTTGTGTGTATTGTGTGTGTAGTTTGTGTGAAGTTGGTGTGTATGTTGTGTGTAGTTTGTGTGTAGTTGGTGTGTAGTTTGTGTGTATTGTGTGTGTAGTTTGTGTGTAGTTTCTTGTGTATGTTGTGTGTAGTTGGTGTGTAGTTTGTGTGTAGTTGGTGTGTAGTTTGTGTGTAGTTGGTGTATAGTTGGTGTGTATGTTGTGTGTAGTTGGTGTGTATTCTGTGTGCAGTTGGTGTGTATGTTGTGTGTAGTTGGTGTGTAGTTTGTGTGTATGTTGTGTGTAGTTGGTGTGTAGTTTGTGTGTAGTTTGTGTGTAGTTGGTGTGTAGTTGGTGTGTATGTTGTGTGTAGTTGGTGTGTATGTTGTGTGTAGTTGGTGTGTAGTTTGTGTGTATGTTGTGTGTAGTTTGTGTGTAGTTGGTGTGTAGTTTGTGTGTAGTTGGTGTGTAGTTGGTGTGTATGTTGTGTGTAGTTGGTGTGTAATTTGTGTGTAGTTGGTGTGTAGTTTGTCTGTATGTTGTGTGTAGTTGGTGTGTAGTTGGTGTGTATGTTGTGTGTAGTTTGTGTGTAGTTGGTGTGTAGTTTGTGTGTAGTTGGTGTGTATGTTGGTGTGTAGTTGGTGTGTATGTTGGTGTGTATGTTGTGTGTAGTTGGTGTGTAGTTTGTGTGTATGTTGTGTGTAGTGTGTGTGTAGTTGGTGTGTATGTTGTGTGTAGTTGGTGTGTAGTTGGTGTGTAGTTGGTGTGTATGTTGTGTGTAGTTTGTGTGTAGTTGGTGTGTAGTTTGTGTGTAGTTTGTGTGTAGTTGGTGTGTATTGTGTGTAGTTGGCCCTGCAGACCTGCGGTGACAGACGTACAGATCTTCTGACTGGTTTCCCTTCAGATCCTGCAGGTTCTGATCCAGACTGCATCACTGATCCGGTCCAAGCCACCTGAACCAGAACCAGAACCAGAAGAAGACAAACAGGTGAGACAGTTAGGCCCTGGAACAGGAAACAGTTTTTAATGATTAATAAAATAATTACTGATCAGTAAAACATTTAGTTTCTGCAGGATTATGGTGATCCTGGTCTGGATCTGGATCAGGACTTGGTTCTGAGTTTGGTACCTGGTCTGAAGCATTGCCCTGTTCTTCAAGTTCTCCAGAACTTTTATGTTTCAACATCTCTCACAGTCCAATTTTCCAGTTTTTATTTGTCCCTGAATGCATCATGAACCAAAACAACATTACATCACCTGCTGCCATATGAGGCAGGTGATGATGTCACTTCCTGTGAGCTTGTTTGCTCCTTAAATATGTCATGAACACTTGGAAGGGTTTCAGAGGACCTGTTAGACGTCTACAACTTGTTAACTTGTGGAGTTCACCTGACTGAAGACCAGCACAGCCAATCAGACGCAGTAAAACAGAAGAAGCTTGGTGTGGTAGTAGCTGAGAGTCACTCAGAGCAGATGACTGACAGCTTCCAGGTCAACTCTGCAACCAAACATGGTGGATCTGCATCCTTTAAGGGTTTTTAATAATTATATCAGCTGACTTTTTCCTCTGGGAGCATCTCCAGTTACAGACACACAAACAGACTCACAAACAGACACACAAACAGACACACAAACAGACACACAAACAGACACACAAACATGAAGACTGAAGTCAAGAGTTGTGTGTTTTCTGCTTTAACCTCTGCCTCACAAGTCTGTTCATGTTCACCAGACCGGACCGGACCGGACCGGACTGGACCGGACCGGACCGGACCCTAACAGTCTGCTGGTTGTGGTCTCTTCACCTCTTCAGTGTGTCTTCTCTGTGTGTGTGTGTGTGTGTTACACACCAACACAAAGGTTCAAACACTGGAAAAAGTCCAGTCTCTGCTGAACCAGTGCTCAGAAAACCAGTCCATGAGTCCCAGTCCAGGACCAGGGGTCGGATTTATAAAACTGGCGTACGCACAATTTGAGCCCAGAAACTTGCGTACGCCACTTTTTACGCCAAGGTTGTGATTTATAAAATCCAAACTTGACGTGAAAATGTGCGGTCCCAGATAGCAATGGACTCAGGGGCGGATC